TGTCCATAAATGATCGTAAATGTAAAGTAGCATCTGTTTGCTATAAATCCCTTGTCACATCTGCAGCTTGTGAGCTGTGAGCAGCACATGAAAACATGTTAGTGAATGAATCACACAGATCCTTTCAGCGTGAAAGAGGCACTGTGGCAGAAGAGGAAAACCTGGTTTGCTTTTCCTGGCCAGGCTCAGGAAATGAGGGTGAGTTCTGAGAGCTGCAGATCACAGCAGTCAAGGCTAAGCAGTGCCCTGCAGGAAAGTAGGTGGTGTATGGGACTTACGGGCACTTTTTTTTTTCCTCAAGTTGTGTTACTTTTCAAACCTTTTGTTGAAATATTTGGCAAATATTCCAGAATTCTTCTGACATCCAGCTGAATTCTCAGTGTTGCACCTGCAAGGCCGATTTGGTCCTAAATTTATCCTTGGCTTTGTGATCACTACAGCCTGATGCTATTTGGAATTAGAAGAAGTGATTCAGGGTTTTAATGCAAAGTCCTCCCAGTTGCTTTCTCAATATCCTCTCTTTTGTTTGGGAGCCTCATCAGAATGTCCTCAAACCAGCACTTTTTAATCCCTGTTTTCTTTCATTTCAGGTTGCATTTGACCTTTAAAGTCATTGCAATCTGAGTTTAGTTTTCACACCCATTTCTTGACTTCCTTCAGTTGCTATGCCTGATTTGTGAACTTTGTACAATTACAAGAGCAATGTGTATGTGTCTTATCTATAGCAAATAACAAGCAAAGCACTGAACAGTTCTAGTTCTGGAGCCAAGTGGAGATAAGATAGCTGAGGCATGGAGGTTGGGATGGTAGGACTAGCACAGTCAAGCTGTACCTGGCCCCTGCAGGTCCTGACCCTGAAGGGGTTTGCAGGAGAGTTTTGAGGGGGTCTTAAAGGTTTAGACAAGAAGTAATTTTTTAATTGTCTTTCTATTTAAAGGAGAAGAGAGAGGGAAAGCTCAACCAGAACAGTTAAGCAGTTCTAATGACTTGGTCTTTATACTGATAGCGGCTCATTTTTCCCAGAGTGAGAACACGGATACAGGCAGGGGGTCATTAGGACTGGTTCTCCCTGCCCTGCTGGGAGGAGTTGGCCTGCTCATGGGCACGTGGCTGTTCACAGCTGGAAGAACTTTACCAGCAAATGACATGCCTTCTGGATCTAAGTAGAGTCCAGAAGGGGGGCATTCATGGAAGGAAGTTGAAGAAACTACAATAGCACATGAAGGCTCCTGAGGTCATGGCTCTGTTAACTAAACATGGCTGGAAATACCCCCATGAAACAGCATGCCAATGAATATGTTGATTTGTTGGACCTAACTGTCTCATCCAGAACACTTCTGTTCAGGGAGCTGGTAGTGGACTCTGAGGCAGCCTTTCTGCAGTGCTTCCCCTGGGCTCCTGGTCAGACAGATCAGTCTCTGGGGCAGATCCATAGCAGAGAATCATTTTGTAGGGTAGGACCTGTGAGTGATGCTGGAATAGGCAGCCATGTCAAAGTCTCCATGCTGATGATGAGACAGTGATGTGATGGCACCAGGGAACAGCAGAGGTGAACGTGAACACACTTCCTCTGCATATCCCCTCCTAACACAGGCTCTGGGGATGAAGGACTGGGAAAATTGTAGCATTATTCTGGTTGGCTTCCCTTTCCTCTATAGTGCTTCCCTGTTGAATTGATTATACCTAACTCCTTGTGATTTAGGAAGCTTCCTTATCTGTGTATAAAGTGAAGTTCATACCAACTGCTGTAAGACAGTAATATTTCTGACCTTTTCTGTTCAATTTGACAATACCTGTTTGTAGTCCGTAACTGAATATAATGTAGTACAGTTGCTGCTGCATGTGTTCCGTATGGCTGAATGATTGCTTTCTTCCATTTCTCAAACTCAACAGATATCTAAGTTTTCAGTGGGATGTTGATTGAAGCAGAAAGAGTAAAGTAATTAACAGTGTATGATTCAGATTGAAAATCAATATAGGCTATATGGAACTAGAAGAGGGTCTGCTAATACTGTAGGTCTGACTCAGCAAGATATGTAAAAAGTGCATCCACTTAACATAAATGTAGCAGGTACCATTTAAAATAATCAATAACTAGAGCATTAGGGCCAGGATTACAGGAAATTGCAGGAGAGTCATTTTGGTTGGCACCACAAAACATGGAACACAGAGACATATGGGCAAAGAACTAAGTTCAGTATCCTCAGGAGTGGTCTTCAGAGCTGCCAGCCCTTGCAGATGGTCCAGATGTGGAAAAGCCTCCTAAGCTTACGAAAATGAAGAGACAGAAACCAGATGTTCTCCAGAAGCAACCTGTTTTGGGTGTATATCAGTGTGCCAAGACACCAACCTTCACAATTTTTAAGTATAGCAGAACTATACTGAACAGTTATAAGCCCTTGTGGAAATCTGAGATGAGTGGGTTTGTCTGGACTCGCCCAGGTCTGATGGGGTTTAATCTGTCTTCCAGTTATTTGCTGTTTTCCATTTGTGTAAAACCAAAGCCTTCCTGCATTCCTAAAACACAGTACACAGTTAAAGCTGAACTAGCTCATGCCATAGGGCTTACTCTGCCATCCGCAGGCTGTGGCAGATGAATAATTGATGGCTGTGAATCTATAATGTCTCATAGGCTCTGTGTTGGCTCTGCATGCAAACTAAACAAGAGAGTCATGAGCTACTTTGCATTTGTCATGAAGGTGTCATGAGCTGAGAGTGAACCTGCTACTCTCAGCTACTGCAGAACAAGTAGGATTGTACCTTTGCTTGCCTTTCCCATTGCTTGCCTTATATTATTCACATTTACACTTACATGGGCATAGAATTGGATTTTTAAGAGGTGGTTCAGTTGAAGGTTATTGGAGTTACCACTTTGCTTTGCACCTTTCAGCAGTGAGGATGTCAATGTTTGTCACCCTCCAGTATGTAGCTGGGACTTCTACCTTACAATAACCAGTTCTTTTATCCAAGAAGAAGGCATAGCTTTGCTATAAGGATGTTGTTTTTAGGAATCAGGAGAAAAATGAGTAAAAAAAAAAAAAAAAAAAAGAGCTATTTGTTAACTGAACAACTACATGTAAACAACAGGCCCTTGAGATATATGTATCTGCAGAACTATAGTGCCGTGTAACATCAGTCTGTGAAGTACTTGGCTGCATTAGACACTCCTGTACATGCCAGCAGGTCCTTGTATATAGTATTTGCATTTATTTTTCTATCAGCCAAAAGTGTGCAGTTGAGATGACAATGAACTATTTCGTTTGTTCACATTTAATCCTAACCAGCTGTGATTTTCTGTGGGAAGGAATGAATCTGCCTATTGGTAGGGCATCCTTGGAATGCCATGAGCTGGGAGGCAGCAAACACTTCCACCATTAACAGAGGTCTGTAGTTTTGGTTGGAAGTGATTTACACACACATGAGTTTTCATGGCTTCCCTTCCATATTACATTAGTAGTATAGTTCAACAGTTTGGGTATTTGAGTGCTGCTGTTTACTTAAGGTATTAACTGTGTTGGGACTCATTGATAGATGCAGGTCATGATCCTGAAGCCAAATGCGTGATTGCATCAGTATTGTTCACATACTTTTCAGTGGATGCAGTATTGCACGAGCAAAAATAATCACATCTCTTTTGCCTAGGCAGGCACCATACCAACTGGAATGCTGTGCTTAAAATTATCATGGGTTTTTCCTTCTATCCCTTTGTTCCAGATGGTGCAGCCTGTCAAACTGTCTTAACACACAGTTCCATGAGTGCCAAATGCCAGTGTGTAAGGAAATGAAATCTGCATGAGATTTGGTGACTGATGCTGAGTTTCATAAGCTGTCTGCTTTGTTACTTGGCATGCCTTGAGACAGCACGTCCAAGGCACAGCACGTCCAAGGCACAGCACGACTTTCTGCGGGGTGAGACTTTGCACTGGCTCCCTGGGAAGAAAGCACATTGAACTGGTACATGCTGGTAGTGCTGGGGAAATCAGGAATACAATGCTGCCATGTTCAGTAAGGAGTTGAATTCGCTGTGCTCTCGTAGCATCAGTAGTAAAATCCGTATTACCTGACAAGGGAAGGAAAATCATATGTGAAACAACAGTTAAAGTTGACCATGCTGGTGAATGTGGGAGGTCCTGGAAGGCTTGTCAGGACTGCCAAAAAGATTGTCTGAACTTGGACACTTATTTATTTAAGTGCCTGGAAGAACTCCAAAAGTTCCTTCTCCACAGTCTGGATCCTTCACAATTCTCTCATTGCACCCCCAGCTCTGACATTGAGATCTGATAGTAAAAGCACTGCAGTGCAGTAGCATGCTGGCCAGTAGTCCAAGAATTGGTCTCCAAATAGATGTTGGAAATGCCAAGTCTGCTGTAGGGTATGATGGTACATTATAGTGTGTGGCACTCATCCCGGACAATTCACAGATTGACTGTCTGTCTGCAATAGATGAGAATTCAGTATGTGTATATCATGCACTTAAAAAGACACAGGAAGACTTGTCATCTATAAATAACATGATTTGATTCACTGAAGCAAAATGATATCTATAAATAAGGTAATTTTATTCACTAGAGCCATTGTGATACAATTTTACAATGTGACTGAGAGCCATTTTTATTGATCACTTCAATTGTGGTGTTGCATACAAATTGGTATAATACATCACCCAATCACATTTATGACTCCCCTACATCAGTACACATGGAATGTTGTTCTGTATCACTGGATATTTGTTTAGCCAAGCTAATATCTCATCTGCCTCATTGCTGTGATAATGTGATGGAAACAAACTCAAAATACTGAAAATGACCAAGCTCTACACTGCCTCTTCTGATCCAAGAGCTAGCTGAGGGATTTAGACCTTTTTAAACCACACAAAGATTCATTCTCTTTTCTAAACATTGGATTTTGCAGGAATTAAATAAAATCTCCACTTTAGGCAAGAACATCTTTTGCCACCACAGAATTTACTTACAAGTTTCAACTTTCTGTCCTTAAGAAGAGCTGGTAGAATTTGCTACAGAAATCACTTTGCTTCCATGGGCTTTTTGCATCATTTGCCTTTCTAAGGACTCAGTGTAGAAGATCTTGCTTTCTCCAAGTCAATCATCCAAAACTCCTAAGGAAATGAACTTCTCTGGTACTGCTTTAGTAAAGAGAGTGAATGCAACTGCATACTGCCACTGGGAGACAGAGTTCAACACCTCCTCAAATTCGGATGATGCTTCTTTGTACTATTTGCTGGATGAATGGTCTCTCTCCCTATCAGGCACAAACATGAAGATGTTTCTAATCCCTCCAGTTGTCTGCCTTATGGCAGGTGTCCTCATCATTCCTACCATCTTGTCTGTAATCTTCTCTAGGTTTAGTATCCGCCGGGAAACAAGGTACATGCTGCTGGGTAACGCTTTGCTTTTCGATCTGATCTACCTGTTGTTCTACACCGTGTCATCTGCTCTCAATGCAGCACATGTACCTCTCCCCAAGGAAGCTTGTGTTCTCTTACTGTTTTTGCTGGCAGTGGCTTACTGTGGAGGACTGTTCACAGCTGCTGCAATAGTCTTGGACACATACATAGCTGTCCTGTTTCCCTTGCGCTACGTTGCTATTTTGCCTCCTTCCCGAACTAAAAAAGTTATTGTATTACTATGGGTGTGTGCTGGGGCTTTCCCTGGGATTTTCTTCTTGGTGCTATTGAGTACTCGCAGCTTTGTGCCCTGTGCCCTGGAAATGTGCTCGGTTCCAGTCATATTAATATTAACTCCACATGGGACTGACGCTGTAAAACTCTGTTTCTGGCTTTCTACCATGGTTATCTTTCTCTGCCTGGCTCTGATATTTTGCTGCTATGTTACTCTGTATTTTAAAACGAAACAATCAGGTATATGGGAGAGCATCTGCTCCAGAGCCAGTGTAACGTTCTTAATGCACAACACTGTCTTATTTTTTTACTTCTTCCCACTCATGGCCCTATTTGTAGAGTCATTCTTGTGTGTTAATGTTGTCGTCAAACTGAGGGTAGGAGTCTGGGTCTCCCTGACAGTCTGCAATGTCCTGATGATTCTGCCTAAAGTTTTGTTCCCTTTTCTGTATGGACTTCGGTACAGAGAGATCTCAGCATCTCTCAAATCCATTGTCAGAAGAGAGCATCTTCGCCTGGTGTTACCTGCTCCATCACCATTCTGAGCCAACACAGAGCACAGCCACAGGAGAAGGAGCTGTGCTCACCTTGTTAGCGTGCAAGCCTGATGGAACTCAGCTTCTGAAGAAGTAATCTAAAGAAGAGGTTATTGGTTCACGTCAGAGAAGACGTGAGTTGATCACTCTGCCTCCTTGGTGCCAGAAGACCCCCAGATCTCTCATTCCATCACAGCTGAGAATACAGTGAATGTTACCGTAGACAAAGTTCTAAGCTTTGTTCTGATGTGGGAAGGCAGTATCTTTTGGAGGAGATACTGAATCAAGACCATTTTCACCCACCTGTGTCAGATGCCCTTCCGGAAAATAGGCGGTGCAAAGCAAAGGGGGTAACCACAGGTCTATTGACAGCATCACCTACAGCAGAGAGACTCCTTAACCAAGCGTGCTAGGAACAGAACAGCTATTTCTTTCACTTGCACTTGCAAGGTTGGTAGCCAATGTCCTGTTCTTTAAAACATAAACCCAGAAGTGCTTCTGGAAACTACTGCACTCAGCAGAACACTGTGCTTCATCTTGTGCAGTGTGCTGGCATAATATCTGCCTTATGGATTCTGACTGACAACTGGCAAAACACTGACTTCTTATAAAATCTCAGTTTGATGGGAAGTCACCTTTGATCAGTATCTGCTGGGCAGCCCAGCAGATGATGGTGTGTGGGGGAGTAACAGGGATAAATGTGTTGCTCAGTGAGGGAGGACAAGCTTGAAGCAGTAGGTGGCAGTAGGTGCAGGGTGCAGGCGGGTGGCTGTGGGCACCCTGGGTCATCCCAGAGCCCTGGCTCCCTCCCTGCTGGGCCCACGCTGATGCAAGCAGGCCAAGGCTGAGTCCAGCTGGGCAGAGGTGTACCCAAAGGCATGACCTGAGATGAGGGACTAAGCATAAACACTGCTTCTGAGTCCCCACAGAGGCATCTCCCAGTTCTGGCTCACATCTCTAGCTGCCTGATCCCAAATTATCCCTCCATATCAGAGCTCATGTTGGGTATCTGCCAGCAAACCCCATGGAAGGTCAGGAGGAGAGGTGGCAGAGCCTGTTGATGTACTGAGGGGCAAGAAAGATGATACCTTGTTAAGAGACTTTTAGGTTTTCCAGATCAGCCACCTATCTACAGAAGATGAGTGAAACATACGTCTGATCTTTAAAGATGCCAGAATTTCATTAGACGTAGACATCAGTGTGGGAAATGTAAACTGCAGTGCCATTCCTTGGACTTGAGAAAAGTTTTTATTTCTATAAATAGTATTTTTAGAATGTTACTTTTGTACAAAACATGTATTGGACTTTAAAAAAAAAAAAAGGCATTAGAAAATGGTCCTTGATTTCACCCTGTGCAATATTTCCTTGTGTGCAGACTCTCTCCACCTTCTGTTTGCTTAAAGCAATATACAGAAAGTGCTGAATGTGGATTTGGGATATTTCACACTCATATGAAGAATGTGAGTCAGGAGGAAAGTGGTGTTTGGTTGCACTAGATGTTTCTTTGGCTGTGAAGCCTGTTTGAGATGTTCCTGCTGACCTCCTCCTCTCCTCATTCCCAAACTGCTCATTGCTCTCCTTACATTGCAGTGTCTGCTCTGTCCAGTTTGCTGATACAACTGCTTGTGGGGTTGCAGGTTAAAAATACCCCTCCAAAGACAAGTGGTGCTGTTTTAGTTTTGACCAAGATGATCCCAGGGATCTGTTTTAGAGGATGTTCTGCAAACAGCTGTGTCAGCACAACTGAGGGGGTAACAAATTCCAGTTCAGAGGTGGAAATGAGCAGGGCCATCTTGGAGCCTCTGCTGCTAAGGTACATTTACAAAGTAAGAGCATCTCTAAGGTAAAGCTGTTGCGAGTAAACTTTAACATTGCATATTTGTTTAATTATGGTTCTGTGCTCCTCAGTCCTCTTCAATAAAACAAATAGGACCTAGAGGTTGCTTTTTACTGGCTGCTTTTATTTTTCTCTAAGATGAATGTACCATTGACATATGCCACACAAGGTATGTTTGCGTGAAGACTTTATGACAGGGCTCTTGCATAACACTGAGAAGGATGGAGAGAATGTCTGTATAGTGGATCGGATGCTTTCTGATAAATCCCTTTAGCATGTGGTATGACCAAGACTGGAAGAGATACCTGCAGCTCACCAGGCTACTCATACCCTGGCCCAAATCTTTATGCCAATGCCCATTGACAAAGATGCCGATAACTTCCAGGTTGTTTTGTCCATGCAGGTTCTTTCAAGCTTTATTACCTGAAGTTACCTATATTGTAAATTTTCATGCTAAGTAGTAAAGATAGCCATGTAAATGGTGTAAAGTAAGGTAGTTCTGTATACAGCCATCAGTGACTTTGAATAGCGGCAGGTTAATAGTACTTGATCTTCCTGCTAACATCCCTCAGTTATGAAGTTAATCTCCAGGACAGACTCAGGTAGGATTACATTGCCAATTCTATAATTCTTACAAACACATCCCCTGGATATGTTTAGAGGCAACTAGAAGTTTAATGACATAAAGAACGATGCTGAAAGAGGAAATTGTGGCAAGTTTATGTATGTATGAAATCAGTCGACAGTGGTATCATAAGGACCAGGCAAACAAAACACTGCTTTGTGGAAATAGCCTTCTAAGAAAGATGAATAAAATAATCTTATTTATGTCCTTGAAATTGTGGTGTTTGAAAAATGGGTGTTTGCCTTGAAAAGATACAGCCCAGAAACTTGAAAAGTTTGCAGCCCAGAAAGGCAACTGTATCCTGGGCTGCATCAAAAGGAGAGTGACCGGCAGGTCGAAGGAGGTGATCCTGCCCTTTACTCTGCTCTTGTGAGACCTCACCTGGAGTATTGTGTGCAGTTCTGGTGTCCTCAACATAAAAAGGACATGGAACTGTTGGAACAAGTCCAGAGGAGGGCCACGAGGATGCTCAGGGGACTGGAGCACCTCCCGTATGAAGACAGGCTGAGGAAGTTGGGGCTGTTCAGCCTGGAGAAGAGAAGGGTGCATGGAGACCTCATAGCAGCCTTCCAGTATCTGAAGGGGGTCTATAGAGATGCTGGGGAGGGACTCTTCATTAGAGACTGTAGTGACAGGACAAGGGGTAACAGGTTAAAACTTAAACAGGGGAAGTTTAGGTTGGCTATAAGAAGGAAATTCTTTCCTGTTAGGGTGGTGAGGCACTGGAATGGGTTGCCCAGGGAGGTTGTGAATGCTCCATCCCTGGTGGTGTTCAAGACCAGGTTGGACGAAGCCTTGGGTGATATGGTTTAGTGTGAGGTGTCCCTGCCCATGGAGGGGGGTTGGAGCTAGATGATCTTAAGGTCCTTTCCAACCCCAACTATTCTATGATTCTATGATACTGGTTGAGCTGAAATGAGTAAACTAAAATGTAATTCTAAAAAGGTCATCTGCATTGCGAGTTGGTATTTTGTTTAACATCAGATGGTAAGTTTTTCTTGAGTGATTGCTTGTAGACAACTCCTTCGCATGGAGTATTACTGCATTGTTTGGTACAAAAGCAGTATGTTACAGCATGCCTAGAAGAAACACACCCTTCACAGGAATCATTTGCCTTGCGGATTTCGCCAGTGTATCTGAATAGGGCCAAAAGAATCACCAGGATGTCATAAGTACCAGGTTGCTATAATTCTGTTCATAAATGTCTTGACTTTGTCTTACATCTTCTTAGGCTTCTTTATTCGCCAGAACCTCATGGCTGTAGTGATCAGCAATTTTGTAAGGACGCCTGTCTCCACAAAAGCTCTGGAAATTCAAACTGAGACTATTTGCCGGAGCCCAGCTATCAATCTCTCCCAGGTCACATAAGTGAACTTCTTGAATGTCACTGTGCCTCTAGCATTTTAATTTGGAGTGAAATGGAGAGCAGTTGACTTTAACATGTGATTTGGCAGCTGGGGGCAGTAATCCTTTAATGAATTGCAATAGCATGAATCACTAAAGGTATTCAAAATTAGAGCCTAAATATATTCCTGGTCGGTTTTCCCCCTCTTTTCTTCTGCCAACATTGTTGTTTTGTTCACCACTGCTCTCTTCCCTCTCTCAGCTGGATTTACAGGGCAGTTGACTGCTGTCTGTAACCTGCAGACTGAAGGGAGTCAGACCTGCATTCCAGGGGCTGGGGCTGTGCCATATAGCACTGGAGAAATAGATCTGCAGTGAGGTCTGTGCCTCACGTAAGATCAGTTTCAGGATCACAAGATACCGCGACTCTCCAGACAAACAAGCACATGGCTTTGGATTTGGGACTTAGTCCATTTGCAGCTATTTGAGTAATTATTTGGTTAAACTAATTAACCTCCTGCAGTTTTAGTAATTTAATATTAATGGAGAGTCTACTTCTGCTCCATCAACTGGCTGTGGCATTTTCTGAGGGAGGTTTAATACAGTAATAGTTCAGAAGGAAAATGGCACTTGCCTGGTTGCCCTGGAGGTAGCTCAGAGAATGGCTCTGAACTGACAGAGGGGAGATTTAGATTAATGATTAGGCAGAAGTTCTTCCCTGTGAGGGTGCTGAGGCGCTGGCATAGGGTACCCAGAGAAGCTGTGGCTGCCCCATCCCTGGCAGTGTTCAAGGCCAGGGTGGACACAGGGGCTTGGAGCAACCTGGTCCAGTGGAAGGTGTCCCTGCTTATGGCAGGGGGTTGGAACTGGATGAGTTTTAAGGTCCCTTCCAACCCAAACCCATCTGGGATTCTGATTCTGTGAACCTTGGGACCATGTCCCAGCAATGAGGAACAGCACCATCTGCCCTTGGGACAGGTCACGCAGCTCCCACAGGGAGTTCTCTGCTTCGCTAGTCCCTGGTTTTGTACACCAAGATACTACCTGTCTTTTGGACAGAAACTGTGATTGTGGCCATTCCCTGTGGGAGGTGGGTATGAATGACAGATGAGAGAGCCCCTGACAGGAAAAGGAAATTACAGGTTTCCTTGAAACTTGATTTCTGCTGTCTCCTGTCTCCACCCCTACCTCACCTTACTGCTGTTAACTGAGGGCACAGCATGGCCCTCATTCCTGACATCTTTTCACAAAGCATCGTGATTTTTGGTATCTTCATAAAACTGCTGACACTGAATGTTTTTGGTTTTCAATATGCTTCTAGCCCTTCAGATTGCAACGTGAATCTGAAAGGTACAGAGAGCAGGAGGGGAACAAAAACAACTCTTTCAGCAGCTGCTATTAAAACATCAGAACTTTTGAGACTCATGATTTAGGAGAGGGAAGGGAGCCAAGTTGTGGTTCTGCTGTTTCATGTTTGTCAGTGAGGGATGG